GCCGCCTTTGGCTCCTTTAGTTGATGTGCTGTAAAATCTAGCTAAAATGAAATAACTTATATTCATGTCCCTTAAAAGCCAATATACTCTGCTCATTTGGCCAGCAGCGTATGCTTTATGTATTTTGTGTTTATTTAACGTATGTGTGAGTGCATGTGTGTGTGTGTGCTAAGTGAAATTTATGTGACTCAATTAAAGGCTGACTCCCTTCCATCTAATTCAAACAGGTGCTAGCCATGTGGGGCGTTCTACGCTTCTATAATCTCGTGCGTTCGGGCATCACCTGGCGTGGACCGGAGGTAAGTTTGAAGCTCTTGCAAGCTCGTTCATTGTTCTGCTCTGGCCCTAAATTGAAAATCACTTTCAATTTGATATAAATGAAACGAAACAGTTTGTGTTTTCCTCATGTTGTTCCTTATTGACTATTTCTGTGTGTTTACTCATTCGACTAGGCCAAGACTGCCATCTTTGCGCCCATGTACAAGAGCGTGAGCACGCACAGCAAATCCTCGATTGTCCACCTGGAGGGCAAGCGGGCCAAGCAGCGCCAGCGACGCTACAGCGTGGAGGCCGAGAGCGGCTGCTGTGCGATCTTTGACTTTGACTTTGACTACGATGACGAGGACGAGGACGAGGATGGGGCTGAGGATGATGTGGGCTATGACTACGATGACTACTATGACTACTATGAGGATGAGGACGAGCAGCAGCTGGAGCTGGGCCAGCCGGATGATGCCGACTGCAGCATGCTGGGCTCGGTCGGTGGCGGTGGCGGTGGCAGGTCGCGTCCCCGCACCGCGGCGGTGCGCATGAAGAGTCAACGGCATCGACGCAACAACAACAACATACGCAGCGTGCTGATCAATAAGCGGCACAACAAGTACAAAATCAGTCGGCCCCAGACACAGCTGGAGGTGATCAACGAGTCGGAGCGCAGCGCGGGCAGCGGCAGCGACGAGAACGACTCCCTGCTGGTGGCCTACGATAGCAGTTCGTCCTTGGCGTCGGTTTGACATTGGCCGCCATGTCACAATGGAGCTGCAGCAAATGGGAACGATCTCCAGGCAACGTCCAGCGGAAGCGATGCCAGCTGCAACGGCAGCAGCAGCGACGACGACGGCGACGATCTGCAGCCTGGAGCGCGGCTCGCTGCCAAATGTTATAGTCAGCGTCAGCGTAAGCGCCGACGTTCACTGCGACGCGTCTACTGCGCTGTAAACATCTCCATAATGGGCCTCCTGGTGGCCGTGGAAATATACGCACAGCTGGCCATATTCCTCTAGATAGATCAAGCTAGAGCCATTGACAAATAAGCTTCAATAAAA